GGCACTCACTCCTCTGACTCCTCCTCCTTCTCCTCCTCTTCGTCCTCTTCCTCCCCGGCTGGTGCCCGCCTGCCGCGGGGACACGGTGTGGGACGGGGGACAGAGTGTGGGACAGGGACAGCGGTGTGGGACAAGAACAGCAGCGACAGGGGTCAGAGGCGTGGGATGGGGGACAGAGGCGTGGGACAGTGAGACAGCGGTGTGGGACAGGGACAGCAGTGTGGGACAGGGATAGCGGTGTGCGACAGCGGTGCGGGACGGGGGACAGAGTGTGGGGCAGGGGACAGCGGTGTGGGACAAGAACAGCAGCGACAGGGGACAGAAGCGGGGGACGGGGGACAGCGGTGTGGAACAAGGGACAGCGGTGTGGGACAAGGGACAGAGGTGTGGGACACGGAAAATCGGTGTGGGACAGGGAATAGCGGTGTGGGATGCGGGACAGCGGTGTGGGATACGGGATAGCGGTGTGGGACACGGGATAGCGGTGTGGGATACGGGACAGCGGTGTGGGACACGGGACAGGCGGTGTGGGACACGGGATAGCGGTGTGGGACACGGGATAGCGGTGTGGGACACGGGACAGTGGCGATGGACACGGGACAGCGGTGTGGGACACGGAACAGCGGTGTGGGACACGGGACAGCGATGTGGGACACGGGACAGTGGTGTGGGACACGGGACAGCGGTGTGGGATGCGGGATAGCGGTGTGGGATGCGGGACAGCGGTGTGGGACACGGGATAGCGGTGTGGGATGCGGGACAGCGGTGTGGGACAAGGGACAGCGGTGTGGGACACGGGACAGCGGTGTGGGATGCGGGACAGCGGTGTGGGACAAGGGACAGCGGTGTGGGACACGGGACAGCGGTGTGGGACAAGGGACAGCGGTGTGGGATGCGGGACAGCGGTGTGGGACAAGGGACAGCGGTGTGGGACACGGGATAGCGGTGTGGGACAAGGGACAGCGGTGTGGGATGCGGGACAGCGGTGTGGGACACTCCGCCCGCCCCTCAGGGATGCAAGCCCCGCCCACTCGGTCAGACCACGCCCCCTACAGGGACCAGGCCCCGCCCTGCACCTGGACCACGCCCCTCCCGTAACCGGCACCGGGACCACGCCCCTCCCGTTACCGGGACCCCGCCCCAACCGRGACCACGCCCCTCCGGTTACCGGCACCTGGACACGCCCCTTCAGTTACCGGGACCACGCCCCCACCGCGCTCACCCAATGGGGTGAGAGGGGGCGTGGCCGCGACCATCTTGTTTACATTTAAGCGGACGCAAAGGAAGCCCTTAGCGACGGCGCGGCGGTTGTTAAGGGAGGCCTCAGCTCTCGCGATACTTAAGCACGGCGGTTGCTGCAGGCGACCCGAGTTCTCGCGAGATTGCCGGGAGATGGCGGAGGCGGCCAAGATGGCGGAGGCGGCGGCGGAGCTGCTGGAGCGGGCGGCCCGGCGAGACGCGGCGCTGGAGGAACTGCGGGCTCTGCGGGTTGCCCTGCAGGCCGTGCCGCCCGCAGCTCTCCGCGCCCGCCTCGGCGAGCACCACCTGGCGGCGCTTTTCGGCCTCCTCGGCGTCAGTGACCGGTGAGCTCCGGCGCGGTGCCGCCGGCCTGACCGGCCCCGCTGCGTCCCCGCTGCTGTTCATACGGAACGGGGGGTTCCTGTCGCCTCCCCGGTTTATTCGGGCGTGCGGGATAACGGTATCCCCCTTCTCAAAGAGCTCGTTTTTCTCTCCGTCCCGCCCAGGGAACAGGTGTCCACGTGTGTTTCTATCCTGGAAAGGCTCCTGCAGGCCCTGGACCCCCTTTACGTGATCCAGAACCTCAGGGAAGAGCTGCAGAAGGGCCTTTTGCACCCCGATGACTCCGTGAAAATCCTCACCATGTCTCAGGTACAGGGTTTCCTCCAGGAGGAGGGGCCAGAGCTCTGTGGTGAGCTCTGGATTAGTCCCCATCTGCTCTTTCTTACTCCAGTTTGTGACAAAATCAGGAGTTTTTCCTTCCACGTTCGTGTCATTTGGGATAATTACCGTGCAGTGTGTGTGTAATGCTTTATGAGATGTCAGTTTTAATGTACAAAATTGTCCTGACAAAAACAACTCATTAATAAAATTTCTGCCACGTGTTCTGGTTGAAATTTTCCAGCCAGCACTGGCAACAGGTGCTGTAAGAATTAAAAGCAGCAGCAGTTTGATATTCAGGATGCTTTAAACGTTATTGTGGGAACACCAAACACTCTGTGGGTACTCGACACTTGTTGCATTAATTTAAAAGAATGGGATGATGGGACRTTGTGGTTTGGGATGAATTTCTAGAAATTCAGCTCAGAGCAGCTGCTCAGGTGTAGGCCAGTTGAGTTTTGATCCAAAGGCCTCAAAAAATGTTGATTCTGGCTTTCTCTGCAGCTTTTCCAGTCCTTGAATGTCCTTACAGTGAAAAAAAAATTGTTTTAATGTTATTCTGTAATTCTGTGGCCAGGTTGGGAGGATTGTTGAAGACTCAGATGCTGTCACMGAAATTCTCCACAGCCCCGAGCTGTTACAGCAAATCATAAACTGCATTGGTGGAGAGAAAATAGCAGTGGCTAAAGAGGTAARCATTGCTTTATTGTCCCATTCCTCTGCAAACTGATGCAGTTGGATGACAATAATCATAACTAGCCTTCATCAGTGAAAACTGAATTATAATTAAATGTATAACTATAGTTAATAAATTAACGAGGAGCGTTGGAACGGAGCCTTGGATTTTCTTCTCTAGGTGGTTTTGTTGATTTGTTTTGAATAACAAGCTCCTTGTTTTGCTCACAGGCTATCAAATCTCTGTCAGGAATAGCCCAGAGCCAGGAGGGCCTGGAGGCTTTGTTTGGGAGCAGTTTGTTGGGTGCCCTGAGGAACGTCATGGCCACGAGTGACGTTGTTCGCTACAGGGTCTATGAGGTGAGGGGGTTCTCATGGCTTTTAAATTAATGTTTCTCACTGCTTTGCACACTTTGTGTCTGTTTTTTGCCAAGGCTAGAGAGGAGTAGAAGGAGTTCAGCAGAGTAGGCCCTCATGGTGTCATAACCTTTTTCTAGTGCAAAAGTGTGAATTACTGTTTGCATCTTTTATTTTCTAACTTGCAGTGCTTAAGGGATGGGAAGGGCTACACAGAGTTACTGGAGACACCATGAAGTGTTTGTTTCTCTGAAAATAAAAGTGAAATAGTTACTGTAGTCTCTTAACCTTTGGATGTGAAGTGCTGCTGAGAGTTCTGGAGAGATGCCACCTGTCAGTCTAGAGATGTTTGGTAAAGGAGAATTAATGAAATATAGCCATTGTAGAGTTTCATGTGGACAAGCTGATTGTGAGTGCAAATCAAGTGCATGTGCTGTAAACTTGGAACTCCTGATGAACTTGCTTCAGGCAATGATAAAAATGTGATTGAATTCTACATTTAATATATAAAGGATTAATCAGCACTATAAGATGTATTAGGCTGTTATTATGAATCATTACAATGCTTTTATAAACCGTCCTTTCTTTGTGCTTTTCTGCAGTTAATTGTGGAGATTTCATCAGTGTCAGCAGAGTCACTGAATTACTGTGCAAGCAGTGGATTAATCCCTGAGTTAATTGGAGAGCTGACTGGAGATGATGTGCTGGTCAGGTATGTTGGTGAGTTTGCCAAGGAGATTTCCACCACTGTTAAAACTTTGATATTGTGATAAAATAAACACATTTGTGTTTTACACAAAACCCTTTTCAGGAAAACCCTTTATCTGCCGTTTCTTAAGCTGCCTTCATTGTAAAATACTTTAATTTGAGGACCAAGAGGTAGTTTCCCAGTGTGAGATGATAATTGTAATGTTTGGCTGCAATAGAAACATTTTGAATTCTTCCCAAAACCTGAAGAAGAGCTGAATGAGCTTGGAGGGGCTCAGACAGTTGGGTTCATTTGTTGGCTTTTTGTTATGATTTTGYCTTATGGCAATGGGGTTTTTTCTTAATTCTGAGTACTTCAAAACCATCTGAACTAAGCCTGGATAACTTTGTGTGTTGCAGAGCCACGTGCATAGAGATGGTGACCTCGCTGGCCCACACCCCCCATGGGCGGCAGTACCTTGCTCAGCAAGGAGTCATCGACAAAATCTCCAACATCATCCTKGGGGCAGAGTCTGATCCTTTCTCCAGCTTCTATTTGCCAGGTGACACCAAGCATTCCTTCTTTCCARGGTTTGCCAGTGGCTTTGTTAATGAGTTAAATTAAGAGGACTGTTCTCTTTTGAAAGCTCAGGGGAAAWTTTGAATATTAGATTGTCCTTCAGCATTTTTTAAATAGCTGATATTTGTATATTCAGTCTGACACGTGAATAATGTTCCTCAGTAATAGTGGTAAGATCTGGACAGACTGTAGCTTTAAAGTTTGTGTTATTGTAGCCTTTTTTAGGAATACAAACATCATGAATTAAGCAACAGTCAAAATATTTGGCTTGTTGCTTGGTTCTGTCTTTATTTTGAGCTTTTTACCAACACCGTTCAGACTTAACACAAGTTCAGGAACAAATCAGTCTCACATTAATATACATTTATTTTTGACTTTGCTGAAGTTGCTGTTCTTCCACTCAGTGCTTTTTTTTTTGTCTTGTTTTCTTAGGATTTGTTAAATTTTTTGGGAATCTGGCTATTGTGGACAGTCCCCAGCAGATCTGTGAGCGATACCCTGTCTTTATGGAAAAAGTGTTTGAAATGGCAGAAAGTCAGGATCCAACCATGATTGGAGTGGCTGTGGACACACTGGGAATCCTGGGATCAAATGTGGAAGGCAAACAGGTTTTACAGAAAACTAGTTAGTATCTTTTCTTTCTCTTTAATAAAACTTTATAATACAGGAGTGAATTGGTTTGGGGGGATGCAGAAAGTAATTGAAAAATGTATTAATTTGTCTAATGAATACATTTATAATGTGACTGATTTGTAACTCTCTGTTCCTGTAGAGATCTGATTGAATTAATTAAAAGCACTTTGTTTTTGTTTTGAAAGGAAGCAGATTTCAAAATCTCTTAAGCAAAATAGGGCACAAGGCCAAGAATGCCCCCACTGAGTTACGGCTGCGGTGCTTGGATGCGATTTCTTCTCTGCTTTACTTGCCTGTAAGTTGGGGGTTTTTGGTTTTGTTTTTYCTTTAAGTCTCCAAGAATGAAATSATCACACACYTGAGTATTTGTGAGAAGATGTTTTGCAGCCTCTAGATTGGGTAGCAGTGGTACTTTCAGTGTTCTGAGTCATTGATTTACTGATTTGAAGTTTTGATTTGTTTAAAGGTTTGGGTTGGTTTGTAAGGAGCCAGGTGTTCTGAAATATTAATAAAATATGAATTCAAGGCTTTATTGACAAGGGAATGAGAATAAACAGGTTCATATCCTTGTGTTTAAAGGGATGGGGTAAAATGCTCCAATTCCTGTGGTGTTCTTTGAATCCAGAGATCTGGGTTGACAGTGTAGCTCTAACTGAGTGGGTGAAACATTTGAATGCATCCTGAAACTTGAAAGCTTTTCATAATCCTAATCAAACTCTTTCATTTTTGTGTGGCATCTCTGTAGCCAGAGCAGCAGACAGAAGACCTCTTAAGAATGACTGAATCCTGGTTCACATCCTTGTCCAGCCAGCCCCTGGAACTCTTCAGRAGCATCAGTACTCAGCCATTCCCTGACCTCCACTGCGGGGCTTTACGGGTGTTCACTGTGAGTGCTTTTTGGTTTTAAAGATTTGTGTAGCCATCCAGTCTCAGATTTATTTATTTCTTTGAAGTGAATGCCACAGACTTCTTGTTAAAGCCCTGAAGTGGTCAGAAAAAGGCCTTTTTCCTTGTGCCACACTTGCATTCCCCGTTACAGTAATGCAGCAGACATGTCATGTCTGAAATGCTGATTTTCTCATAAATTGGAGAGGGGAAAAGGAAGGCAACAGCTGTGCTCTAAGATGCTGCTTCTATACCAGAGGCACTGCTGTGATAATTCCCTTAAAACTTTAAAGATAAGCACTGAGCTGTACTTGTTCTCTTGTGTTAAACCCTGCTGCTTGATTCAAGTGCTGGTTGTGTCACCACTGTGTGGAATGAATATCTCACTTCATTTTTCCTGTTGCTTGTCTATCTAACAAAAACCCTACTGTGTAACTGCTTTTTTTTTTAAAAAAAAATGAGGTATTTCACTCCTCCCACATCTTCTGTCTTCCTGTTCAGGCCATTGCAAATCAACCATGGGCCCAGAAGCTGATGCTGGACAGCCCAGGCTTTGTGGAGTACGTTGTGGACAGATCCGTGGAGCCTGACAAAGCTTCAAAGGATGCTAAATACGAACTGGTGAARGCCCTGGTGAACTCCAAAACCATTGCAGAGATCTTTGGGAATCAGTATTACCTGAGGCTCAGGGCTTACCTGCATGAGGGCCCCTATTATGTGAAGGCAGTTTCTACTACAGCAGTGGAAGGAGCAGAATAATTCCCTCRGTTCTGGGGTCCCCCTCTGGCAGAACATGTTCCTGGAACAGGTGTTGAGGTACAAGGTGCAAACACTCTCCACACTGGAGATTGTCTCTTTAAAGGAATGGGARGATATTTTGACTCTATTTGAAATGAGTCAGGAGAGCAAATTAAAGCCTATTTGGTATTTCCCCATAAAATGTCATGGCAGAAGTTGTCTGTGTGCTTCATGAGGCAGGTAATCCAGGTGAGCACTTACCAGCTACTGACTGGGTTTTATTTGGCAGAATTTATCAGTCTTTGGTTAAATTGTTCCTGGGTTTGGTGTTTCTGTTGTGTTTTCTTAGGAGGTTACAGTTCAGTTAAAAAAAAAACCCACCAAAACACCTTAAGGTTTGTAACCTCAGATGCTGCCATAATTTCTATTCTTTTTTAATTATTTTTTTTTTACCTGCCAAAGTTGGCACTTGCATGGAACTCTGTTCTTTATTCTGTCACAATCCTGTTGCTGAATTGAATAAGCCAGTGATGCTGTTCACATGAGGGAGTATGGACTGGACTCTCTTTGTTTTCCTGCTGGATATGAGTCTTGCTGGAATAAATAATCCTAAATATTGTTTACATTTTATGCTGAGGATTAAAAAAAAAAAGCTTTTAGCCCTTTTGAAAACAAATCAGTGCACTCTGTAGTGGATCAAACCCAARTGGGAGCTTTGTCTCCCTGGTGGCTGTGCTGTGGGGTGGCAGCTCAGTTTAGTGGCTGGAGCTACTTCAGAACCAAAAATTGAATTGTTTACACTATTTTTAACAGAGGTGGATTTTTTTAAGGATTATTTAAAGAAATGTAGTAATTTAGTTACCCGAGTTAGGCTAAAATGGGTTAGAACATGAAGCTTTTGTGTCGAAGGGAGTGAATGGAGTAGGGTAATGTGGCATCTTAGGAAGTTGGAATCTTTTTTTGAAGATGTCAGAGTTGTGGGAGAAAATCAGGACTGGCTGGGCACTCCAGTGATGTGTGAGCTGTCTTTGTCCATAAACAGAGATCACAGTGTACTTTATATCAAAGGCTCTTATTATTTTTGTTGAGAAACAAATCTGAGGAGTAGCTGGGGGAGCAGAATAAAACATGAAGTGACTCCTTTGGGGCTAATTTTAATAATGTGTCAGTCAGGTCTAACTGTGGATAGAGCTACCCCCATGTCCCTGTGTTAGGTAGGGGTGCAGTTGGCATTGCCTGCCAGAAACTGCTCCCAGGAGTCCCCTTGAGCTCAGAGGGGCTGGGGAAGATCCCTTAGTGTTTGATAAGATGTCCAAATGGAGCTGGTGTGCCTTTTTCACCACCCAAGAGGTACCAGAATTGTCATCCCACATCCCAGTGCTGCTGCTTTCACCCTCAATGTGCCCAATAACCCTCTGCCAGTGAGAAATGCACTGCAGTGTCTCGTGAATGGAGAGAGCACAGGAGCTTCATGAATCCTGCATCCAGCAAACACATCAAAGCACTAAAAAGGAAGTGAAAGGAGTGTAGAAGTCCTTAGTTTGCACTTGTTCTGGGCAGTYCAGCTCTGTTGTTTTAGGTGGCTTTGTGTGCTGGTAGCTCTGTAYGAGCCATATGCTGAAATGTCAGTAAAAGAAATCAATATATAAACCTTCTCTGCAATTCATGAGTCTCTTCCATGTGTGTTTTCAGCTGGTGCTTTTGAAGGCTACTCTGTGTGCTGAGTGTTTAGCATCTGCTTTGCRTGGTACATTTGCCAAGGACAATATTTTAGAATGTGCAGAGATGCCAAACAAGGGGATTTTTTTATGTATGCACATATGCTTTATTTTATTGAGCTTTGAGCTCAACGTTGATTGATTAATTGATCACTTTCCCCTGATTACTCACATGCAGTTCCCTGCCCATGCTGTACATTGCCATATGGATTACATGCTGCTGCTGTTTCTGATATAAATGACACAATTGAAGTGTGTTGTTTTTGTCATCCCCYGTTAAAGTAACAGGTGGAGATAATTGAGGAGAAACCAGAAATGGAATGCTGGAGAATTGAACTAACAGGCTGAACATTTGGTTTAAAAACCAAGAAACCCCAAACCAAACCTTGCCATTTGATGGATGTTAACAAGCAGCATAACTTGAGCAATTTCCATGATAGCTCAGTGTCTGTTCCTCTCAGCCTGCTCAGAAGCAGCTCCTTTTGTGGGTCGAAGCTTCCCTTTGTTACAGATTTCTTTGGAAATCGGTGATGCCTCACTCAGATAAAAAAGAAGTTTTGAAGACTCAGAAGTCTGTAAAACCCTGGATGCAGACAAAGTCTCATGGAATACTCTGTTTTACTTTCATGCATGCATTTGTAGGTACTCACAGAGATACAGTACATCCAGTTCTGCTCTGTCATACACTGCAGCAGAAATTCATTGTTRAAGGGAGGAGAGCAAACTTTGGGAGGGATCCTTAGCAGTGGATGTTAACAGGGTAACACAGCTGATGAAAAAATTCAGATTTTCTCTGCAGAAATTAATTGACAAAATGAAGGACCTCATTTTTTATTYTATCCAAGTTGAACTGTTTGAACTTGTCAATGTAGGTCAGAACCTTGCAGGACACCAGGCTGTAGTAGGTTTCCAACAAGGAACAATCTTCCCCATCGTTTGTTTCCTTCCAGTCTTTAAATAGCTCGTCCTCTCTCATGTCGGAAGAGGTGAAAATGAATTTATAGCAGCATCGATTGTAGCTGATGTGCTTTTCCCCAGAAAAGCGGGAGCTGTGCCTGGCAGTGATTCCAGCTTTTTTAGCACAGATCCCCACGAAAGCAGCGGGAGGCAGCACCAGGGGCACCTCCCTGGCAGCCACGTAAACCTTGCGAGCCACGTCCTGGGACATGAGGAAAGCGCTGCCGTGGCAGAAATCCGGGTAGAACTGCTCGGGGTATTGGTGAGTGGGGACAAAGGCAGGGCTCTGGGGGTCCCTGTCAGGCACTCCCTGATGAACCACCCTGCCCAGGTAGATGTCCTCTGGCTGCGTTAGGCTCTGCAGGTACACAGCCAGGCTGGGAACGCCCACAAACACGTCCTGGGCTGTTTGAAGGATGTACCTGGCCTGTGGACAGAAAGTCACTGTCCACTCCACGCTCATCAACATCTTGTGTGTCTGTGTCTCGGGGGAATCGATGAAACTGCCTTCAATAATGTCTTGGTGCTTCTGAGCCTCTTCATTGATCTCCAGCTGGGTGCTCAGTGAGGCTGCTTTTCCTACAGCAAACACGGTGAGGACACTGTAACCTCTGGAGCCCGTCGTGTTACCCCAGGTCTGCCTGATGGCATCGCGCCTTGTCCTGTTCTCTGGGCTGCTGCACACAACAATGAGCAAAAATAYCTCTTGATTGGAGCATGTCACTGCACTGCTGCCAGTGTAAGAGAGGTTGGCCTTCAGGAGATCCAAATCCAGCTTCCTGGCCCTCTCCCTGATCTCCAGGGTCTTGGCGTCGGTGTAGGAGAGAGGCAGGGAACGCAGGAAGTACTGCTCCAGTAAATCTGCCCCAAAAAGCAGCACGTGGAAAAGCAAGACATTAAAGAGGATGAAGCACCACTGGTGTGTGCGGAGCCTGCAGAGCGTCAGCTGGGGAAGAGAAGACATGGACACTGAATTCTCTGYTCACTCAAACCAAAAGGCTTTCCTTTGTTTTACAATATATCCATGTCAAGCAATCACACCTTTTAGACCATGGTCTCTATTAATGTGAGGCTCTTTTTCTCCTAGGAACTGAAGGAATCTCGCTGTGCACAGTGAGATCCCAAAATGATAAGGATGTTATTGTGTTGTATGGAAGGTCCCTTCCAAGCCAATGCTGTGAAAGCTGTGAGAAGCTGAAGCACTTACCTGCATGGTGCTGGGRGCTGTCGCTGCAGAGGGGCTCTGGGGCAGTTTCTCCGTGGCACTGGCTGTATCTGGGTCTGCAGGATCCTGTTACTGCCCGCTCCCTGCAGCCTGTGCCTGCCACCTCACCTGCCTGGGCAGAGGAAAGATGATCCTGGGGCTGATCGTGTTGCAGCCACGTAAAACACGGAGCCAGAGAAWCCCTGGTTGTTCCCTTTATTAATTTCTGACAGTGAGGGAAATGCTGGGGCTTGGTAAAAGGAATCCCAGTTTGCTGCTGGCCATGGGGGTGGTGCTTTTTGTAGCTGTGCCATTGTGGTGTTGGTTCCCCCATCCAGACCCATCGACCTCTGTGCTGAGCATCCCCTGAGCTGGAGCTTTGGGCTGTGCATTTGTGGGTTTGCTGTGTTTGGGGTGGTGCAGGGCACCCCAGGTTTGAGCTGGAGCTTTGGTCTGTGCATTTGTGGGTTTGCCATGTGTGGGGTGGTGCAGGGCACCCCAGGTTTGTGGGTGCTGCTGGGCCAGGCTGGGGCTCTGCCTCCCCTGAGCTGGAGCTTTGGGCTGTGCATTTATGGGTTTGCTGTGTTTGGGGTGGTGCAGTGGCTCTGCCTCCCCTGAACTGGAGCTTTGGGCTGTGCATTTATGGGTTTGCTGTGTTTGGGGTGGTGCAGTGGCTCTGCCTCCCCTGAACTGGAGCTTTGGGCTGTGCATTTATGGGTTTKCYRTGTTTGGGGTGGTGCAGGGCACCCCAGGGCTCTGCCCCCACCTTGGGCTGCTCCGGAGCCGCTGCGTGTTGCTGTTGGCTCAGCCACGGCTGTGCCGGAGCTGACGGCGCTGGGGAGCCACAGGAGCCTGGAAATGCTGGAGGGGGAAGTGCCAAAGACACCACAAACAGGATGGAGGTGTCAGCAGGGGGGACAGTTGGGTTTGGCAGTGGAGCGGGAGAGGAGAGGGGTTTGTGTAGCGGGGCTGTGGAGCACGGAGAGGAGAGGGGTTTGTGGGTCCCAGCAGTGCCAGGGGGGCAGGGCAGGGGTGGGTGATGGCAGCGCTGCTCTTTGAGGGGTAGATTGGGGTGGGAGGTGCCAGCCTTCATCTGCACAAGATGGGATCAGCAGTGAGATCGTGATTTCTTTTTAATTTTGAGGTTTCTCAGAGGTCAGGRTGCGTTTCTGTTCTGCATCCTTGGGTGAAAGGAGAACACAGCGCTGCTGTGGTTTGTCTTGGCTGGACTGTTGCAAGGCTCCCTGGAGCATCCTTAGGGCAGCCTGGATTAGCCCYGTGTCCCAGGGAGATGGAGAAGAGCTTTGATTGTTGCCTGGWGGGGTCCAGGGTTAATCCCCAGCTCTGGCTGAGCTGCTCTGCTCTCCCAGCTGTGTTGATAGAGGAACAGAGGAATTACAGAAGAAAGCAGGTTCCCAAAATCTCCTCACAGCTTGGAAATGCATCCTGCTTCTCGGGGAAAAAAAAACCCAGTGCAAATCCCAGTTGGACTTGTGCTTTAGACTGTCCAAAAAGAGRGAAAACTCCTTCCCCAGAGCTTGTGTGTCAGCTGGGACACAGCTTCATCCCCCCAGCCTCACACCCTGCAATCCTCCCAGAAGTGATGCTTTGAAGCTGGGTGAGCTGTCAGCACGGGAAATGTCATTTAAATGTGTGCCCTGAAATAAAAGGCTAATAAGGAAATACTTCCCATGTGCAATAACTGCAACTCCAGATACCCATTCTGGGGAAAAAAAAAAGTCCTTTGAAGATACTCCGTCTCCAGCTAAACCATTTAATCAGCAAGTAAGTACCAGTGTTTGAAACCTCTTACATTAAACATTGAATATCTTTAGGATAATAAAATAATAATAATAATAAGCCCCAGATGTGTATCATCCCTGGTGCAATTAGGCCCAGCATGGTGCTGGCAGCRCTGCTGAAGTAATTTCTGTAGCTCTGTGGTGGCAGCAGCAACTTTGAGACCAAACTTAAAAAAGTAACACTCCCCAACCCCAGCCAGAGCATGGGCAGCTCTCAGATGTGGGGTTTTGTTTATCCACAGAGCCCTCTGGATTCCCACTGGGAAAGAGCTGAGGAACAGCAGGGAAAAGGCTGCTGAAGGAGAGCAGAACTGAGTCCTTCATCTGCAGGGAATTTGTCTGGGATGATCCCTCCATATCCTGTCCAGGTTTCAGGCAATCACAAGGCCCAGCAGCTCATGTGTGACTTTATCTCACCTTTCAGAAAGGCAAAGTGAAGCTCCTTTGTGGAAATCATTGCTCTCAGGAAGATCCAAGAGTTTCCTGGAGAAGAGTGAATTCTGGAATGGCTGGAGTCAGGTCAGTGGGGTACGAACACTGTACTGAGACCCTGCACAATCCTGGGGATTAAAATTAAACAATCAACCAGGAAAGCAGATTTTCCTGAGCCACAGGGCTGGAATTTGCTTTCTGTGAGTTGTTTTCACATTTTCCTTTAATTTTATGCCCAAGCAAACCTYGTTACWGGAGCAGGGATGTAAAGCTGCGGGYACCTGGACCTGTCCTAAGGCTGTGARTGCTCAGACTGAAGGAKRTTTGGGTTTGGTTTTTGGAGAGGACAAKCCCCTGTGATACCCAAAGATCAAAGCAGAGCTGCCAGGAGGGTGGTGGGAGATGCTGTGAGCAGTGGGTGCTGCAGGGGAGCAGCTGAACCTGYAAATCCTTCAAACATCTCCTAAAGCCTCCTGGCTTTCCTCCCAGTGCTGGGAACATTTGGAAGGGGGAGCAGAGCCTGGCTTCCCTCAGTTCTGCTCAACTTCACTTGGTGAAAATGCGAAGGCTTTGGATGACGCACCGTGCTCAGGAGATGGTGCAGGAGAGGGAGGATGGATGGGAAAATCCAGTGAAAATTGGGTTTTTCCAGCATTAATCTGTTCAAATGTAAAAGCTTCAGATCAGCCTGCCCCAGATCTCTGCAGGGTGGGCATCCCTCTCCATGCCCACCACGGTGCCCCTGCTCTCAGCTCTTCCCAAAAGCCAGCTTGATTCCCACAGCCAGGTTTTCAAATTGAAATATATATAAATATATAAAATATACATAAATAAATATATAAATATAAAAATATATTCTATAGAAACATATAAATATATATATAAATATTGATATATAGATATTGATATATAGATAAATATATAAATATATATATATATATATAAATAAATATGAATATATAAATAATATATAAATAGAGAAATAGATAAATATAAAACTTGCTGCTTCCTGTTCCAGAGCCAGGTCAGAGCCCCTCCATGGAACCCAACTGCCACAAYGCCCCTTTCCTGTGCCCTCATGGATTCTCTTGTCCTATCCTAAGGTTCAGAATTGTCCCTTGTCACCCCACCAGCCCCCAGCCGAGATTCTCTGGGAACAAAAAGCACTCCCAGGTCTCCAAAGTGTTTTGGATGCTACACAAAGAATCCCCTTTATTCCAAATTRCCTTTTGCAGTGTTCCACCAGCACACACAGAGCTGAGGGGCTGCGAAGGGACCTGTCTGGCTTTTAATAACAGCATCAGTTGCAATAAATAGAGATGGCTGTTTGGGTCTTAGTCACCTAATAGCAATGTTTGTGCTCAAAGACATGATTCAGCTCTTGCAGGCAGTTCTTCACCTTACATTCTCTGTGGAGTTTGGGAAATGATGGAAGAAGAGGATTTGTGAGAGTTCTACAGTGTGTGTTTCACTTGTTATTTTGTATTTAATGTCCCTTTGGGCATTAAATATAAGTGGAAAAGTGAAAATGCAGCCAACAAACCGGAGCACTGACAGAGCAGACAAACAGCTCTGCTGTGCAGATGAAGGTGTCTTTGCTTCTGATTTAATGGCTCAGTTGATGAGGCTAAAAACATATTTTTACAGCCAGGTTTTCTGCATTCTTCTTTTTCTTTTCCTACATCAGTCTCGGAGTTATAGAGCTCTCTCCTTTTTTATGGTGTGTTTGATTACTCCTTCTTGAGATTAATGACAGCTTTGACAGCTCCTCTGGATTCCTGGTTAACGACAGCCTCACCCCCTGTGTGTTCTGCGAGAGCTGCACTCAGCCTCAGCAGCACTGAGTTCAATTTGTGTGAAATGTTGAACTGTGAGGCCACAGGGCCGAGTGGGTTCCCTGAGTGGTCTCCCTGCCGAGTTTTCCCTCAACAGAAAAGTTGCTTATTTTTCAGTGGAGCAGAAGTTTCCCCGTTGTTATTGATTCTCAGAGCGTGCCCTGTGAGTTGCTTTTCTGATGCTTTTTTTGGTGCTTTTTGCCTTGCCCTTTCATTCCCCAGGCTGTGTTTGTGCCTGGCAAATGGGGATTCACATGAAATTCATTTGACACGCGCAGCATCCGCAGTGTCAGAGTCTCGACTTTGATTGAATTCCATCCACACTCTGACAATATTTCCAGCTGGGAGCAGATCTGATGTTGCTGTCCCCAACTCCGTGGCTGCTCTGCAGCACTGGGCAGTGCCTGGAGCATTTCTCCAGGGCTCTCCTTGCTCTGTGTGTCTTYGTGATGTACCCAAAAATGCAAATCTTGCCTGAAATCGTGGGGGGAACAGGAGCTGGATGCAGAATTGAGGGATTCCCCAGGGCTGGGAGGGGCTGCGGTCCCCCAGCCATGCCCAAGGCTCCTGCACCATCTCCCTCCTCCGAGGGGGTTCTCAGGGAAGCAGAGCTGGACAGGGACCCCTGTGACACGAATCCCTGGAGCCCTGTGGGTTGCTGGACCTGSATGATGTGCTCCGCAGAAGATGA